GTGAGCCAGGCACTGGCCGCCAGTGCAGTGTTGGTGTGTGGAGTCATGTGGACAGGGTAGTGCAGTGGGCGGCAGATAGCGACATAACGGTCATAGGCCATGACCACCAGAATGAAGGCTTCAGAGCAGGAGAAGCTGTGGAAAAGGTACATCTGTAGGAAGCAGGCAGGGAAACTGAGGAAGTGGTCCCCAAGTAAGAGTAGGGACAGCATCTTGGGGACAGTGGACGTGGTGAAAAGGATGTCCAAGGCAGAGAGATTGATCAGGAAGAAGTACATGGGCTTGTGAAGGTTGGGCTCTGCCACCACAGCCACCAGGATCAGGGTGTTACCCACCAGGATGAGCAGGTAGAAGAGCAGGAAGATGAAAAAGACAGGGAAGAAGAGGAACTCCTGCAGAGAGGGGATGCCCACCAGGTAGAAGATGGGTGAAGAGTCTTTTGATCCATTACAGGCTGTGGCATCCATGGTGGAACAGAGCTGTATGCCAGGGTGACAGGCAGCCAAGGCATCTTGAAACCAGAAAAAGCAGGAATTTGGAATGAGAATTCTGTATAGTTCACTGCACATTTATTACAATCCAAATCACTTATGACCAAGTTTAGAAAACTGGTGGTACCATCCAATATTGATTCTTCCATCTTAACCCACAGTTCACTCTTTCTTTCTTCCATCAAGTATTTAGTAAGTACCTACAATGCATAAGGCTGTGCGGAGGTAAACAAGGCACTCAAGGCCCCCACCTTCACTGGGCTTAAATTCTAGTAAAACAATGGTATGTTGGAAAGCCATCACACAGTCAATTATCTAGTTACAACTGTAATAAATGCACTGAAAGAGCTTCTGTTCATTGTTTGCTCATGTCACACACTATCTTTTAGACATCAGATTTTAGATGAACACTTAGATCCCTACGTTACTGTATTTGCTTTTGCTTTTGCTTAAACTTCTACTAAGTGACGTCCCTAGGAAGGGCTGATTTTTCCAAGGTTCTCTGCAACATGCTACTTATTCAGCCTACTCATCACCAAGGGAGTGTCTCCTCTCTCATTTTCTGGTGCAGCAGCTCTGCCTGCCTCTCTCTCTACTGAGTTCTCTGGGTGCCCTCCCACCCAGGTTTCAGTGATGGGAGGAACAAATGTTTTCTGTGGGACATCTCTCTTCCTGATGGAGCCCAAGCTGAGGGTGGATCTTCCCACCATTCCGATTGAGTCCTGGGTCAATCTATCATCTTCCTTTCTGGATGCTACAGCTCAGTGGGTGTTCTGTTTTGTTCTTTTATGCCCATCTGCCCTTGGCTTGTCTAATACCAACTCAGAAGAAGCCCCAAGGAGATGTCATGAGCTCCTTTGTGGCTAGAAAGGGCCCAGAGACCTGAAAGCTATAGTTACCCAAAGATAAAAGAATCCCATATTGGAGGTTGTTCACCAGATGTGTGCTGGGGTCAACTCCGGGACCCCTGGACTTGAACTGAGGCAATACTGGCTAGTTCCCACTTCGGGGTGAGCTTCTGATGAGTGGTTCAGGTAGCTTCGTGTTTACATCTGCATCACTGCTGTTTCAACCCCAGGGATTTCCACAAGCGGTTTTCTGATGAATTCCTTGGAACTACATCTACCTTCTTTCTTTTCTATAATGAATGCAAAACAAACTACAAAAAACACCCCTCATGCCCTAGAATCATAGACTATCAGAACCGGTGAAAAAGGTTTTCTTAAATCTTCAATTACAACTTAATTCTTCCCCCCATTCTGCTTCCCTGCCACCTTTAAAATTTTTCCTGGTTTGCTCTGTGATTGATTTGGATTGTGCAGCCTGGCTTCTAGATTTGAAAGTGGTGACTGGCAAATGCTTTGTCTAAAATAAGTATGGGAGAACAACCATCCTGTGTATGTGCTCCTTAAAAGAGAACCTCAGATGTGAACCTGATTGTCTCTATTTTAAAAGGTCAACCCTCAGTTAAACAGAACCCCATTCCAACAAGTTCAGTCATGGATTTTTCCTCACACCTGAAGGGCACTGCCCTGGACTTTTCTGCTCTCAGAGAGGCAGTCGTGGGTAGTGGTCCCAGGTGAGGCACAGTAGGGAGTTTGAGGGGCAGAAACATAAAGGGTCAAAGCCAGAGGGGTCTGTCAAGTCAGCTGCCCCCTTCTGCTTCCTCTGTCCCACTGCTTTGCAGCTGGAGGTAGGATGCCAAGACCCTGGTGGAGAGATGGCACATGCTTTTCATTGCCAGGCGGTGCCGGGCTATCCAACAGGTAGACCAGGAACGTGCTGGGTCTCCACAAGGCAGAGTGCCAAAAATACTTCCTGAAAGAATTTCACATTTGATGTTTCAAAGCCCCATTCAACTAGATCATTCATCATAGAAAATATCTGAATTTGGCTGGATTTTTGTACACTTATTTTACAGGTTAAGGTTCTTATTATACTTTGAATTCCATACTACATCTGAGTGATGTAACCCTGTGCTTAAGACCTAAAGGATGCAGTCAGGGCCCTTGACCCCAGTTCTACACCCGCCTCCCCACATCCTTGCCCCTGTCTCTCCATTCTGGTCTTTGCTGAGATGTGGCACTTTGCCCCCAGTCCACTCACCTGCCAAGCCCTGTCCACCTTGGTGCCTTCTATGAGGTCCCCTTTGTGTCTTCTAACATGGCCTGGCAGGGAAGAGCCAGGCAGGGGCTGAGCCCATTAAACCCTCNCATGCTGTATATATTCATTTAAGTCTTGATGTTTTTGCTCAGCACAATATGAGATTCCTCCATGTTGTTGCATGTACATGTAATTCCTTCATATTTTATGGGCATTTGCTCTGAACATTTTACGAACATGTCACAAATTAGAGAAATGCTGCTGTTCTAGATCATAGAGTATATGTATTTTCAACATTATAAGATAGTGCTAAGCGTTTTCCAAAGTATTTGTGCCAGTGAACACTCCCACTGTCAATGTATGAGTCTCTGACGACCCATGTCCTTGCCAACCCTGGTATCGTCAGAATTTGACATTTTAGTCAGCCTGATTGGCTTCTAGTGGTATCTATTGTTGTAATTTGCATTCCTATTACTAAAGAAGATGAGCACTTTTTCCTATATTTATTAGACATTTATTTATTCTCTTTTGTGACTTGTTTCACTCACTTTTCTAGTGGCTTTTCTTATTGATTTGAAGTGATTCTTTATATGGTCTGGCTATGAATCCTGAGTCCTTTAATTGGTTATATGCATTAAAAATTACTTCTTTTGTTCTGTAGCTTGGTTTTCCAGTCTTTTTATCGGTGTCCTTTTTTTAATGGAAATTCTACATTTCAAAGCAGGCAAATTTATATTATACTTTCTTCCTCTAGGTTTAGAGCTTTTAAAAAAATCTTCTTTAAGAAATATTTCCCCATCTCAGGATCAGCACTATAGTTTCCTATAGTTTTATAGTTATGCCTTTCATATTTAGGCCTTTAATGAGACTGATTTTTATGTTTTCTTGAGGTAAGAGGCAAATTTCATTTTTTGATATATGGATACCTGATAGTACCAATACCATTTATTATATGTCCATCTTCCACACTGACCTGCAGTGTCATTGCCTTTAAACGAATATATCAATTGTCCATACATTTAAGGGTCTATTTCTGGGCTCTCTCTTCTGTTTCATTGATCTATATGTCTACCCGTGTCTTAATAACTAACCTCTTTGTGCTCTCATCTT